TATATATATATATATATATATATATATATATATATATATATATATATACATATATACATATATACATATATATGTGTATATATATATATGTATGTATGTATGTATATGTACATATATATACATATATGTATATACATATATTTATATATATATATATATATATATATATATATATATATATATATATATATATATATATATATATTTTTTTTTTTTTTTTTTTTTTTTTTTTTTTTTTTTTTTTTTTTTTTTTTTTTTTTTTTTTACAGCCATTCATTCCACTGCAGGACGTAGGCCTCTCTCAATTCAGTAATGAGAGGTTATATGGCAGTGTCACCATTGCCTGATTGAATGCCTTTCCTAATCAACCGCGGTTCGGCGCGTTAACACTTGTGCCACAGCGGTGACTTTCCCCTACGACACCTGCGTTGACTTCTCAAGGCGATATGTCGTTTTCTCGGGCTCGAGGTAGCAGTCAGAGCGCAGGCATTTTTACGACCGCCGCGACGGGGAGTTGAACCCGGGACCACGAGGGTCGGAGTCTAGTGCTCTAACCACTGAGCTATCGCGACAGTCATATTTATATATATATATATATATATATATATATATATATATATATATATATATATATATATATATATATATATATATGTATATGTATATCTGCATAAATCCCTCTCCGGCGCTATGAGGGTCATCAGTGATTCCTATATGAAGAATTCCGGTGACCTCAGCAGACGTCTTCAGAGTTGCGGGTGCAAAAATTAAAAGCTTGTCAGTTTTGACGCAAAATCCCCTACACAAACGGAGCAGTCCGAGCAGTCGAGAGGGTCACCAGCTCCATGACAGATGCTGAACAACCGCTGCCGAGTCATCACTTCGTTCGCCAAGTAAAGCTATGCGTGGACTTACTTCGAATTTGCTGGGGAAGAATACCAGCAGGTTAGTGGTCTAGCCATGGGCTCCCCCTGAGTGCAGTCATGGCTTACATCCAGCAGACATCCAACTTGGCTTTGATACGTAGATGATGCCCTCGCCATTGTCCCCAGAAGGCCATGTTTACAACATCACTGACGCGGCTTAACTCCGTCCACGAGAAAATCCAGTTCACCGTGGAGGAGGAAGAGGATCAGAAATGACATTTCCTGGGCACTCCGATCCATCGGGGCGACATGGCCTACGTTTGTCTGTATACAGGAAGCCTACAAATAAAGATTACTTCTCCACTCACAGCAACAAAATAAAAACTGGTGTTGTAAATGGTTTCTTCCTCAGAGCACTGATGTCTGATAGATATATATACTGTAATTTCTTAGATGTATTTCTGATGAAGATATAATCGAAAACGGTCAAATACATCTCTTGTATTGTGAACATATTCATTCTCATCGATATATTTTCTACATATACCCACACGCATATATATATATATATATATATATATATATATATATATATATATATATATATATATATATATATATATATATATATGCATAGACATACATACACACACACACACACACACACACACGCATAAATATATATGAGTGTGTGTGTGTGCACATGTAAATATATATATATATATACATCATATATACATGTATACATATGTATATATATATACATCATATATACATGTATATATATCATATATATATATATATATATATATATATATATATATATATATATATATATATATATATATATATATATGTATATATATATATATATCATATATACATGTATATATATCATATATATATGTATGTGTATATATATATATATATATATATATATATATATATATATATATATATATATATATATGATATATATATATACATATATATATGATATATATGTATATATATATATAAATGATATATAAGTGTGTACATATATTTATACATAAAGGCCTCCATTCGAAAAAAAAACTTTGATGCCTTATATATATATATTTATATATATATCTATATATATATATATATATATATATATATATATATATATATATATATATGTATAACCTTATAATGGATATGACGATATTTGTGATTCGCAATGGTGTTATTATCCTTCTCATTATTACCATTATCATCATTGTTATTATCACTGTCGTTGCTGCTGTTCTTGTTATTATCGTTATTTTATCATTAGCATTAGCATTATGATTATGATGATGATGCTGAAGATGAATATCAGTATCATTATTAATACCCTAATCACCATCATTATCAGTAGTAGTAGTAGTAGTAGTTTAAGCAGTGGTTTTGGCAGTATCATTATATTTTTTATTGTAAAATTATGATACAGATACTGATTATAGTATAAAAGTCATGGCAACACAGGGTAAAGATAAGCATGGACTGATTCAACACCTTTTATCTTCATTTGCCAAATCTAGATGATAGCGTTCTTATCTATGTGATAAACGGTTACTATTTCAGGCAACCCGTGAATCAGTTAGTTAATATTCACTCGTCACCAACGAAAGACGTGTTCAGAAGGCTTTCGATATCTCTAAAAAGAAAAAAAATTGATATTCGTGTTTCCGAATTTCAAAATCTCGAGCCTTATACTACGGATAAGTAAAACCCACCAGAGAGAGTCAAAAGCCACAGAAACCAACATGCGTTTGAAGGCGGCCCCCGTGTTCATGTTCTATGGAACTGTGTCTTGCCTGCAGATATTGGATGGTACGTGCCTGTATATCTTCTTGCGATTTATAAGAGAGTGGTAAGTGAAAGAATGAGTGAGTGGTAGGCGAAAGAGTAAATAAGTGGTGAAAGTGTATCAAAAGATGTATCAACTTACTTTGAGATTTGCGAAGATCTAGCTTCGCCCGGGCCTCTCATATACGGCCCGGCTTGTGTCAGCTTTTCATGGCTGTCTCATTTTGTTGCTTACCGTGGCAGACGGATTGCTAGTAGGCGTTCCTGTTGCCTTGATGTAAGCATACCGTATAATCTCTTTACTAGCACAGGAATTGTGTGTGCTCACAATTCTGTAAGTAATGTATCAGGGTGGCGTTCGGTTCGAAAGAATGCAGGCAAAACCTCTCTTCATGGTCTATTGTCTCTATGATCTGAAATGCACAGTGGTAACCTAGTCTAATTCTGTGAAGGATGACTTCGGTACCTCTGTTGATTATTTCAGAGAGTGCCCTTGTGGATCAGGGTCTCCTGAGTGGCAAGTGGACTTGGTAGGCATTGTCGAAGCCTTCAGGTTTAGAAGGAACTTTGAACTGAGGGAAACGCCTAGCGGGTCCAGACTCTCCCTCAGAGTCTGTCTCCAGCCTCGGCCGTTTCGGTCCGCCCTTTCGGCTTTGGACTTTGCTCGTGGGAGCAGCAGCTGTTTCAGCTTGTGCTCCCATCTCAGTCAGGGAGGACGTCTGAGGGGAACTCAGATCAGGATCAGGGCACCTGTCTTGCTGGAATAGAGGACCAAAGAGGCGTGTCGCTAGCCGCAGGGCGTACTCATTCACGACATCGCTCAACCTCCAGGACTCCCATCTCAACAGCGCACAATGCTGCCACGCACGGCAAATGCGTGGGTAGGTGTAAACCCTGGGGAGAGACCAGAGGGGATGCCCTTCCACCTACAGGACATCAATGGTTGGAAACCTTTTGCTCATCTCTCTGAAACAGCCACCCAAAGGTTATTTCACCTCAGTGAGGGGGGAGAGGACCTGTACCTTTTCAAAAGTGAATCCCTTTTCCCTCTGAAACAGCCACCCAAAGGCTGTTTCACCTCGGTGAGGGAAGAGAGGTCCTGCACCTATTCAAGGAAGTTCCTTCATCCCTCAGAAACAGCCCCCCCAAGTGAGTGAGCTAATTAAACAGACCTAGGCTCAGGGCCTCAGAAAGGGAGGGGCTCCTACCTGCCTATTCATTCCTATGCGAAAAAAAACTAGAGTGGCAGTCACCAGATGGTCTGCCATACCAGTCCCTAATAGAATGGCAATTCTCTGTACATCGTAAGGCAGGCACGCTAAGGACCCCCAGACACACCCTCCCCTATATACATATATATATATATATATATATATATATATATATATATATATATATATATATATATATATATATATATATATATATATATATGTGCGTGTGTGTGTGCGCGCGCGCATATATTTACACTTATGTATATCTATATTTATATATATGTATATATATATACAAATATGCACGTATATGTATGTGTGTGTATATATATATGTGTGTGTGTGTGTGTTTGTATACATATATGTACATATGTGTGTGTATGTATGTATATACATATACATATATATATATAGATATATATATATACGTATATACACACATGTGTATATATGTATATATATATATATATATATATGTGTGTGTGTGTGTGTGTGTGTGTACACGTGCGTGTATATAAATATATATATATATATATATTGTTAAGTAGAGTAGTTTTATAATCGATTTCTCAAGTAAAGGAATCTTTTGAGTTTGAGCCTTTTCCTTTGGATCTTGCATTGTTTTAGTAATGAACAGAAATATGCATTAACTGTGCATTTTTTTTTTTTTAAGAATCTAATAATTATTATTGATAAGGATAATCACAAGAAGCTTAGAAATTATATATTACCATAATGGAAAAAGTTGTCAAAGGTAAATAGTTTTGACTGGAACTTGGAGGTGCCACGTGCCCCGCTCCAACATGGTTATATGATATATAATATGTAATTTTGTGTATTTGGAATTGCATATTCTATTAGGTTGGTGTCTAAAAGGTGACTCGTGTTTGGGTGATGCCAAGAGTGATATGTCAGAACCAGAGGTATTTTTATTTTGGTGCAACAATGACGTTGTCTTTTTTATAGTTTCTACCGAGAAACTTGAGCTGCCCAATTATTTGTATCGATTTAATTGAAGGTCAAACGGTGCTTAACATTCATTTTGTATTATAATACTTGTTGGCAGTTGCCAGCGTGTAATTAACTTCTTAGTAATACAATGTAAGCATCTACTAGTGTTTTATATTATCCTGTTGCATTCTTTGATTTATTCAACGGTGATTAAAACATACCATGATTTAATGTTAAGTAAGTGAAGGTTGGTAACAAATTAGAAATCATTAGACTTAAAAGATAATAATCATCCTTTGAAGAGAATGTTAAAGATTTGAACTTACCTTTAGAAGTTTGCAGCTAAGTTGCTCTGTACCCGTTTTGATTAATCCCCTAGCTGAGTAAAAGCAACTCTCCATTAAGAGAGATTTAGTTGAGCAAGGAACTTGATTGTAACAATATGTATATATACATGTATAATTATATACTTTTATTGTTTATTGTTTATGGATAGATAGACAGACAGGTATGAATATTTGTATATGTATATATATGTATATATATATATATATATATATATATATATATATATATATATATATATATACATAGTTGTGTATATATATAGAAAGATAGATATAAATTTATATATGTGTGTATAGATAGCTAGCTAGCCAGATATATATATATATATATATATATATATATATATATATATATATATATATACATATGAATATATATATGTAAATATATTTACATATATATACATACATATATAAATATATATATATATATATATATATATATATATATATATATATATATATATATATATATATACATATATGTGTGTGTGTGTGTGTGTGTATTTATTAATATATATGTATATATATATATACACACACATGTATACACACACACACACACACACATATATATATAGAGAGATATATAGATAGATAGATATAGATAAAGATATATATACATATATGTATGTATATATGTGTAAATATATTTACATATATATATATATATATATATATATATATATATATATATATATATATACATATATATATATATTCATTTATGTATTCATATCTATATATCTAACTAGCTAGCTAGCTATCTATATACATATATATAAATTTATATCTATCTTTCTATATATATGCACAACTATATATATCTACATATATGTATATATAGAGATAGATAGATAGATATAGATATATAAAGATATATATAGTTGTGTATTTATACAGAAAGATAGATATAAATTTATATATATGTGTATAGATAGTTAGCTAGCTAGCTAGATATATAGATATGAATATATTTATGAATGTATATATATACATATATATATATGTATGAATCTATCTATATATATATATATATATGTGTGTGTGTAAATATATATATATATATATATATATATATATATATATATATATATATATATATATATATATACATGAGTGTGTATATATGTATATATATGTGTGTGTGTGTGTCTTAGTGTGTGTTTGTGTGTATATATTTGTATGTGTGTATATGTGCTTGTGTATATTTGTGAAAAAAAATATTTTGTGTTTACCCTGTCGTTATGGTTTATGCTTAAGATTAATACAAATGCATTCTCAATTTCAGAATGCATGTCGAAGAAGAACTTGGAAACATACATAAAAGGCAGTGAGATGAAGCTCAGAGTCTGGGTTCCAGAGATCGGCGACGCCACTTTTCTCACACTGATCTCTAAGAATGACCGGACGGGGATGTCAAGAAAAATCGAGATTAAGAAAAACGTAACAACTGTACAGACTAGAGATGAAGACACTGTCAGCCCAGAACAAGAACTGCAGATACAAAACAACAGCCTTCCTCGTGGCTGGGTAAATTTCATAGTCATTTCAAATGAAAACTTCACGGTAACTGTTCCTGACGTCAACCTAACTCTCATAGATGTACAAGATGTTGTTCAAGACAAATACATAATGATCACAGGAAGCAATGTGACAGCCAACTGCATGTTACGTAAGTAGTTAAGCTGTAAATAAGCAAATTTTTCGTGTGAATTTCCTTTTTATCCTAAAAGTATTGGTGATGCTTGGTGATGGGAACAGTAATCATTATAGATTGATTTTTATTTCTAAAGTTGAAAATAATACACGGCTACAATAATGACGACGACAGATGGTGAAAACAATACGGATGATTAAAGAATCCTAATAGTGATAAGACGAAAGATAATATTTTTAGTTTGCCAGTGATCATCATCATTACTGTTGTCATTAATGGTACCATTTCTCTTGTTCCTAATTATCATTATTATCACTATTATCATCATCATTATCATTATCATTATTGTCATTATTATCATTTATTATTATCACCATTATTATTATCATTATTACAATCATTATCAGTATCATCATTATCAATATTATCATTGTTATTATCATCAGCTCACGTTTGATTTTATATGCTTTATAATTTCTCTGATGTATGTGTTTCTGACAAAGATGTATTAGAAACCGGTTAAATACATCTCTTGTATTGTGAAGATATTCATTCTCATTCATACCTTTTCTACATGTCAATATGGATACGGTTTATCGTCATTATTATTATTATTATCATTATTATTGTTATTATCATTATTATTACTGTTCTTGTAATTATCATTATTATTATTATCACTATCATTATCATTATATGTATTATTATTATTACCATCATCATCATCATCATTACTATTATCATCATTATTATCATTATCCTCATTATCATCATTATTAAAATTGGTATTATTCATATCATTATCATAATTATCATTTTACTCTCGCCATTTCCAATCACTTTCCTTCCCTAGAACAGATAATTAGAGCTTAAGATTCTTTCTCTGAACCTCAGCCACGAACCAGTGGGAAGTGTCCGTCGACCAAGAAACCTTTATCCCGCTGAGCTCAAACGCGTCCCACGACTTCTTGCTGTTCTCAAGAGCTCCCTTCACGCCCGTGCTGGCGGTCGGATTGGACGGCAAGGAGTCTCTTAGATTTATTTCGCTAACCCATGTCTTTGATTCTGAATCCCAAGTGCTGTCCCCTTTTTTGGTGTATAATTTCACGTTGGACTACGCTTCTATTGACGAAGGATGGAATTCATACCATATCCAGGTGAGTGAGAAGCAGTTATTCATTTATTGCGTCTATCTATGGAATTTTGTATAGTTTGAATACACACATTACAAAATAAAGGAAAAAAGAGAAAAAAAATACACACACACACGCACACACACACACACACCCATATATATATATTATATATATATATATATATATATATATATATATATATATTATCAAGTACACACAAAAGAATTTCGGCGGAAATCAACATTCTAATGTCATATGGGAATCAATAAGTTCATATAAATCTACAAGTTGAAGTAAATGTAGTGACTTTACGGTACTTGATAATAAGTGGCAAATAACTGACGAATAATTGATACATATTAGATGCAAGTGTGGGAGGCACACCTTAATCGACACATACAAGGATGTGAACTGCTATCTCAGTTAAAATCAACTATATCAACAGCTAATGGCTTTTAACCCATGACATCTTTGCATAATGAAAAAATATTAGGAAAAAACAATGAAGATCAATCAAAACCTGAGTGGCTTTACTTCCCCTCAGGAGATTAAATCACCATTCAGGGCCAGAAATCCAAAATCTTATATTAACTGTTCTCTCAAAGATCTTACCTTCAGTTGGCACAATTCAGGGTTAAGACTTTCTTACACAATACTTGATACAAAGTTACCAAAATTGTGACAGGCATGTTCAAGCTATATCTACTTTGGAAGAGGATATGCATAGAGAGCTTCATAGATAACTTTTAGAGTAATACCTACAAAAAACTCATTATATAACCAAATACAAATAAGCAAATGCGCGCACATACACACACACACACACAGTATTTGGTGATGCAACAAAATGTTATAAAAGTACAGTATTCTCCCTCATTTCCTCCATCATGTTTCCATTTCCTCATCAAATGCACCACAGTAACAAGACCATCTATTGTATGCACTAATCAGGATAGTGGCTTTTGCTTCAGCATTGTAACCTTTGCTAGAGCAATTAATCAGAATTTACTGAGATCTCCACAGGTTTGTTACCAATGCTGATGAACTGAGTTCCCCATTGGAAACTATGTATGATAGCCAAGCCATCTACATCACATTTCATCTGGGCAAGTGGTATTTTTTTCCAATGGCATTCCCTTAACCCGTAGATCTAGGTGCATTGATGATTTGTTTCATAAATGACTTTCCTCATTATCCTCAGGAATCCCGTTGGTTTCCTTTTTACATATTCATGTCTACTTTTGGCTTCTCAAGATGAAAAAACAAGGTGAATGGAGAAATGCCAAGTTTTATACCATTTCACAACAATCTCCAAAAGTACAGAATTCTTCAGAGACACAGAAACACACACACACTGTGTGTTTCTGTGTCTTCACTTTTGCACACGCCAACTTTCTTGGCCGTTTCCCGTCCTGCAGATAAACTTCAACTGCAGAAAGATCTTTAGTAAGCAGTGTTGATTGAATTTGCACGGTAGATGTGCTAAGTTTACAGTGGTGGCAGTACATGTATGTGTGTATATATGTATGTATATATGTGTATACATACATACATATATATATATATATATATATATATATATATATATATATATATATATATATATATATATATATATATATATATGACCCTTAGCATTGTTCCTGGACTTTTATTTACGGTTTCATTTTTTTTATGATACGTGCAAATACATGCACTGCCACCACTGAGTAAACCTAGCACATCTACCGTGAAAATTGAATCAACATTGCTTACTAAAGATCTTTCTGCTATTGAAGTTTATCTGCAAGAACGGCATACAGCCAAGAAAGTGGGTGTGTGTAAAAGTGAAAACAAACACACACACACACATCTCTCTATATATGAGTGTGTGTGTTCATACATACATACATACATACATACATGCATGCATGCATATACATACACACACATACACACACACATACACACGTACATGCACACACACACACACACAGACACACACACACACATACACACACATATGTATGTG